AGATATTAGGAGAAAATTCTTCACTGAAAGAGTAATTAAACACTGGAGTAGGCTGCCGGGGGAGGTGGTTGAATCACCATCTCTGGAGGTGTTTAAAATATGTGTGGATGTGGTGCTTAGAGACATGGTTTAAGCAATGGACTTGGCAGAGTTAGATTAATGGTTGGTAGAGGTAGGTTATGGTTAGACAACCTGTGCCAGTGTCTCACCATCTGCATAGTGAAGAATTTAATACTAAAGTCTAACCTGGATCCCCCTGCTTCAAGTTTTAAGCCACTACCCCTTGTCCTATCACTACATATCCTTGCAAAAAGTCCCTTCCCAGCTTTTCTGTAGCCCTTTCAGGTACTGGAAGGCTCCTGTGGTTTCTCTCTAGACCTTTCTGTTGACCAGGCTGAACAACCCCAACTCTCTCAGCCTGTCTTCATAAATACTTGAAGCAGCATTGCCCCCACTACTAAAAGGCATCGAGGTACTGGAGTGACTCCAGAGAAGGGCAACCAAGCTGATGAAAGGTCTGGAACACGTCTTATGAGGAGCATCTGAGAGAACTGGGGTTGCTTAGTCTAGAGAAAAGGAGGCTGAGGGGAGGCCTTATTGCTACCTGAAAGGAGGGCGAGGCATGGTGGGGACTCGTCTGTTCCTGGCAACAAGAAACAGGACAGGAGGAAATGGACTTGAGTTGCACCAGGGAAGGTTTAGATTAGATATTAGGAGAAAATTCTTCACTGAAAGAGTAATTAAACACTGGAGTAGGCTGCCGGGGGAGGTGGTTGAATCACCATCTCTGGAGGTGTTTAAAATATGTGTGGATGTGGTGCTTAGAGACATGGTTTAAGCAATGGACTTGGCAGAGTTAGATTAATGGTTGGTAGAGGTAGGTTATGGTTAGACTCTATGATCTTAAAGGTCTTTTCCAACCAGAACAATTCTGTGGAAATAGGTTTGGGTGAGAGTCGCTTCATTTAGCCAGCACACTAATCCCTGCAAGATCCATAGTAGTGTCTTTAGTACTTTGAGGCTGCATCAGGACTTCCTGACTTCCAGCAAGCTGAGAGAGGGGGAGATGTGGCTCAAAGCACAAGCAATCCAATAGCAGAGCTATCGGCTATTGCACATCCATTATTTAGAAAAGGTCAGGTTGGGGTGTGTGAGTCCCTGTGCACAGGGTTGTCTGTCCAGTTTGGGGTGGGGGGCACACAATAACAGCCTGTGGTTTATGGTCAGGACCAGTTTAAGCTTGCCTCCCACAAATAAAGCCTTTTGAATCATATGACTTAAGAGTAAAAAAAAACACATTTGTATTTGAGAATCCTAATGCTTGGGCATGGCTTTTGTCCAGAAATATTGGTCTCCAGCATTAATTAAATTGTTACGAGAGCTGTGCCCAGATCCTTGCTTATGTGGCCATGAACAACTTAGTGCTTGTTGTGAGAGTATTTTTAATACTGTGTTTTTAATTATACCCTTCCTGGGGTTGGACTAATTTGGCAAAGAGGGTTCTCTACTTGCTCAGCTGATTATTACCCTGTCTTGTGGTCTGTCCTCAAATCACAATACAGTGTTTACATAACTGGCAGAGGGTGGGGAGTTATTTTTTATCAATTCTTGGTTCTCTTTGTCTCTCTATTCCTGCTTGTGCGAACTGGCTTTGTCCATAGGGTTAGCAAATTAGAATTTTTTTAGCCTTAAATAATAACTACCTAAAGCCCCATCTGTTGTATTGTCAATCTTTAGTCTTCCTTATTTTTTCAGTTCTTTATACTGATGAGTTTAAAAACAAGACTTCTGCTTCCACATTTAAATGCCATAGACAAGAGTAGAACTTTTTGCTAGATTACAATTCAATAGATAACCTCTTGCCTGCATTAAGGGAGTATCAGTAAACTGGCAGTTAGATTATATTTATCTTGAAGATACAAGGTCAAAGGGGATGTTTTAGGTTGATTTGTTGTGAATTATGGTGGTAGTGTTTTCCCCAGATTTTCTGCTCTGGTGGAAATTTTTCACTATCACATGCTTCTCAGAGTATATCCTTATATGTTGGGTACAAAATGTAGTTTAGCAGGTGCTTGGAGTTTGAGTGAAAATGCTGACCAAGATCTGCTCTATTTTAGGACCTTGAATGGTAGTGACAAGCTTGGAGTAAAATGCATCTCTGCCTACCATAATAATGCATCTCTACCATAATAAGGCTGGGGCTGACTTGGAAGAAATATTCCTTCCTATCTAAACGAAACCGTAACCTTAACCGTAACCGTAACTATAACCCTAACTCTGACCCTGACCCTAACTCTAACATCCCTAACCCTAACCCTATCCCTAACCCTAACCCTATCCCTAACCCTAACCCTATCCCTAACCCTAACCCTACCCCTTAACCGTAACCGTAACTATAACCCTAACTCTGACCCTGACCCTAACTCTAACAACCCTAACCCTAACCCTAACCCTAACCCTAACCCTAACCCTTAACCGTAACCATAACTATAACCCTAACTCTGACCCTGACCCTAACTCTAACAACCCTAACCCTAACCCTAACCCTAACCCTAACCCTAACCCTAACCCTAGCCCTAACCCTAACCATAATAAGACTGGGGCTGACTTGGAGAAACTTATCCTTCCTATGTATCTGTCAGGGTTTGTCTGTCACTTGCTGCTAGTTAAAAGAGAGCTCACTGACAGGAAAAAAAAAAAAAAAAGAAAAAAAAAAGGAAAAGGAAATTTGGCTTCATTGTGGCTCAGACCAGGTCAGTAACCCTAACCCTAACCACTAACCCTGACTCTAACCCTAAAACCTAACCCTAAAATTTAACCGTAACCCTAAACACTAATTCTAACCCAAATCCTAACCCTAACCCAAACCTCTAATCCTAACCCTTACCCCAAATATATACCCCTATCCCTAACCCTTACAGTAATGGTAACCCTTACACTAGCCTTAAACTCCAACCCTAACCCTAACACTATCTCTTAAAACCTATCCCTAATCCTAACCCTAACCCGTAACCATAACCCTAGCCCGTAAATCTACCCCCAAGCCCTAACCTTTATTCTTACCCTAAGCCCTTATCCTAGCTGTAACCCTGACCCCTAACCCTTACCATAACCCTAAACCCAAAACCTAACCCCTAGCCCTTACCCTAACCCATAGCCTCTCACCCTAGCCCTAATGGGCTAATACCAGTCAGCCAGATATTTGCCAGAACCCTTTTGTGGAGGTGAACAGCTCGTGTGTGCCCTCAGGTGATCACTTTCTTCTCTCAAGGACAGGTGGACCCTTAGAGGACTGAAGATCACTTAGGTGGGGAAAGACTGTCCCCAGTTAACTTATGAAGGAGGATCACATGTCAAAGACAATACAGAGCTGGTAGGCTCTGAATTCCAGACAGCAAAAATAAATCTCTCCCTCTTCAAGCAACTAGCTGGAGAGATTTCCTTGTGCTTTATGCTCCCACCCATGGTTATCATCAGAGTGGAGCTGGTGCAAGGTCAATACTTGGAATTAAAGCCAAGAGAGAATTTTCCTAGAGAGACTGGCTTAGAGGTAATGATATTTTTTACTTGCTCCTGAGAAACCTTATGAAAATACACCTGCTAAGGTAAATCTGGTCACAATATGATAGAGATGTAGAAACTTAGAGGAAAGCTGCAGAATACACAGAATTTGATTTTGACTATTTACTGAGAAAACCTCAAAAGGACAGTGAGTTGAACCAAGCAGCATCTTCCCTTTGGATGCTGAGGTTTTGCATGCATGACACAAACTGACAAGACATCGTTTTGCAAGATAAGGTCAAGATCTGCTCCAGGTTTAGAACTGGAATAGAGAGGGATGCTCTGACAAGGGTATAGGTTTCTGCTCTTAGTCATAACAGACACAAGCTGGCAAAAGTGAGAGCTGGAATTCTCAGGTTTGAGGTATGCAGAAATATGTGGAAAGTAGGCAGGTTAGAATTACCAGGAAAGAGAGCAGGAGTTCTCATAGAGAAGCATGTTTTCAAAGTGTAGAAAACATGGCTTCCCTCTGCTGTGTTTCTTGGCAGCCTGCTAACAATAATTATATATATATATTTTTAGTGAATTCTTACATTTTAAGACTATAACTCTGTAAAAATTCTGAATAGTGATTCAGAGAGACAAACATGGGTATGTGAAATACAGGTGCATACATGGTGGTTTACTCCTTCCTCTAACAATGAGGATGCCCCCACTTAAGATTTTCCCATTCTATTTCATTTTCCCACTATATCCTATTGATAGGAAATAAAAGAGGCTTTCCTCCCTTCCAGTCCTTTTCTTAGAGCCCTGGCTGAATTCAAGATATGAGACATAGACCAGATATTTTCCTCCCATCTGTTTTTAGGACATGACTCAGCTAAAGACCAGAAGAGAAGCTCCTAACTGCATCCCCACGCAGAAAAATCCCAGAGTAAAAATTGAGAAACAGGAAAAATGTTCTACATGGGAATGTCTGGGAGGGAAGCAAGATAAGAGCTAGTGAAAAGGAGCTGCAGCAAAATGGACAGGATTGCAGTCAGAAGCAGAAATATGCTTCCAGGCTGGAGACCTGGTTGTGTTTACACTGGTACATGCATGCCAGGTGTGACTGGAAGGATGACACCAAGAGAGAATGAGAAGAACTGCTCCTCCTCCACTTTCCACCTGGCAGACTGACAGGAGCATCCTGGCTGTGTCCAGCAGTATCCATGTCCATTTACAATCCCTTCTGTTGTGTTAAGTAGATGTGGTAAAAGCCTAAACATTCTGAGCCTGCCATTAGCCACTTTGCAGTCTGCATCTAACTCCTGCACCCATCCATGTAGTCCAGCAGCCTAACATTTTGCACAGAACATAGCAAAGAAAGAGTCATTCCAATGCCCCTTCTCCCAGCTTAATCAGTCCTCTGTGGGGATTGCAAAGAACATCCAAAAGCTTCTCTTTAAGGAGAAAACATGAGGACTGGCTCAACTGAAGAGTGTAGCAGACTACATCAGCTATAAGGGGACATCCTCATCCTCATCTTCATCCTCATTCAGGTCAGTGGAACGTAGGCTTATGTCCTTGAGGATGTCTGAGATGTTTTCAGCAACTGGCCCTGCCAGCTCCATCTCTTCCAACTCGGTATCAGTGGCGTCAGGGGAGGGCAGAATTTCCCCCTCTTCATGCAGGTGTGAGGGCTGGGGGGAGTAGGAGCAGGGAGGCAGGGGGCTCTCTGTGGCCAAGTCTGCTGCTTGCTGTGCTGCCACCGTGCAGCTGTCCTGCAGGTTCCACACCTGAGTGGCCTGAGTGGCCTTCTCACCACCCGCTGAAGTCCTGTTGGTGTCACGGAAACTGGCAAGGGGTGGGCGGAGACGGACCCCAGAGCGTGTGGAGCCCTCTATTGCCTTCTGGAGCTAGGAGAAGAGAAGAAGATGAGAAAAACAAATGAGGAAAGAGAGGCTGGCCCAGCCCTACCCAGCAGAAGTTCCCCAGATCCCCAGGATACAGGGATCACAAATAGAGAGAGCCACAGCTGTGGAGCCTGTGGAGAACGTTTTACACTGGTGGTGTCATTTTTTCATTCCACATTTAAGAAACAAATTCCACACCACTTTTAGAGACAGTAATAGCCACTCAGTTCAGGAGTGTTAGCCCCACATCCATGAAAAGGATGAACCGTTGTACATCCCTGTAAACAACACCTGCTGCCTCCTCTGGAGTCCAGTCATCCCTTGTTCTACCTGGCTTCCAGAGGATTGACTCAGAAATCAACTCTTGATTGAAAATGTAGAGATTGCATTTATATATACTCCCAGTTGGATCCTCCAGCACCTGTAAGTTATTGCAATGATCCACAGGATGTTTGCACTTTATTAGGAGGTGAAAGGATCTGTACTTACCTCTTCCAATGCCAACACTCCCCTCAGCTTCCCCATACTGGTTACATAGGCATGGCTGAGGCCCAGTAATGAGAACAATGTGTGTGTCTATGGGCAAAAGCACAAAAGATCATTTCAGGGACTTTGAAAACTGGTACTGTTACACTCTATGCTAGTGCAGGGACCTGGGATTTAGAAACAGGAATCCCAAAAGCACACAACTCTGCAGTCATCCCAGTGCAAAATTTCTCTTCTTCTTTTGTAACTAGCAAATAGTACCCTGTGGTCCTTCTGCTGTGCAGCCATAGCTGGGATTGTGTTGATGATAGAGACCACATTCCTGAGGTCACTCTCATCCTCCATCTGGCTCACAGAGATTCACATACACAAGTCTACTTTATTTTAGTGCTGGAAATTAAACTATCATACACACAAAGTCCGTACCTCCTTAGGTTACTTATTCCCATACTTTCCTTAACACTAGATTTCTTTCTTCCTGCTCCAGAATATTTCCTATCAAAACCTAAGCTTTTTTCTGCTTACTTGCTGAAAAAGACAGATATCACACTACTATCAGTCTTCTTCAGTGCAGATATACCCCATTATTTTCTGTTCTCCATAGATCAGACTTTCTAAAATTTTTAAGTATTCCCAGTTCTCATCTGTGTGGTATTTTCAGCCTCCAAGTTCAAGCTGAAGTCTCCCTGTGGCCTTAAATGAAATAATTCTTTCACAGCTGATGTTTACCTTATTTTTTTTTTTAACAGAATGTGAGACATTGAATGTCATGTCCAAGTGTAAACTAGGGAAAAATCCCATTTTTCAGGAGCAAGACATTTTACTCTAATGTAAAAGAAAATCAGTAGTCTCACATTTAGCTCCAACTATGCATCCCTCTGTCAGTTTCATCATTTATTCCTGCATTTTTTTGTGCACCCAAGTTACTTTGCCTGTTGTTTCTCATTCACTTTTTTTTTTTTACAAGAAGTGTTAAACTTTCCCCATTTGCAGTCCTGAGGTGTAATTTCCTGTAACCCCTATATTCTCAAAGATAAATGCTGGTGGTCTTCAGATGACTTAATCCAGCCAGTTAGCAAACACCAGGCTCATCTTAAGGATACACTAACCTGTTCCTATTTTGCTCAAGGCTGAGATCTTACCCCTTTGATAACAGTTGTTAATTCACACTTTGCAAGGCATATGCTGACCTTTCATGTTACATGCATGTTGGTAACAACATGCACTGTGCACTTTTCCTTCAGAAGACTGCTCTCCCTTTCTTTTGAGTGGAAGCCCAGTCCTTTCTTACACAATGACTTTATTCTATCCCTAGTCATCCTGTGCCAACTCTAGAAGTTGTATGATCCAGCTTCTTCCTTCCTTGTGCTTCAGGTCAATGAAGATGCTATGATATAGGGTGGTTTCAAGCATCTCTTCTCGTGCACTGAAGCAGACTCTATTTCCTGACAGAAACACCCTGAGAAATTCAGGAATATTCATTCCAGTGCTGCATACTGACAAGCAGAGTGCACATCTCATAGTAATGCCCCCTGCAGCAAGGAATGCAATGCTTCTGTTAATGTAGTGGCTGGCAAATCTTACGTGGTGTCCAAAAGCTACTTAGTAAATGCATTCAAACTTCTTATCATGTAGCCTCCACTTTCTGGGAGACTGGAGATACACGTAGAAGGTTACAGGAGCACACTGATTTTTTTATCTGAATGTGAAAGCAGTTGGAGACAGTAGTTGCAGGTGAAGACAAGAAGAAGAAATAAGTCAGAGACTAGACTTGCAAGAATAGATAGGGTGGAGAAAAACTGTGTACTCCTGAAAGACACCTGCACCCACCTTGTGCAGAGAAGTTCTCTCTACCAGTTGGAAAGGGGAAGGGTCGATGCGGCAGCTGTCAAAGCAAACATCCTTGTTCAGCTCCTCCTGTTCCCAAGCATCTATCTGACACAGAAAAGAAGAATCACTCTTACAGTAATCAGAACTTCTGCTGTCTTGTGTACTCTCCTCTTACTGGTTGAGACTTGCCTACTGTGCAACTATAAGAAGAAAACGGCTTTAAGTAGGGCTTTGTGTGGCAACCTCTGAGGTTGTCAGAGTTCAGGAAGAACTGCAGATAGGGAAAATGGGTAAAAGAAGCACTCAATTAACCTTACTCCCTTTCTGCACCTGGTCTTACCTCTTCTGGCCTCATTGTTTCGACTTCCACTGGATCCTGTAGAAGAAAACAGTGTTCAGGACAGACAAAGAACCCACAATTTTACAGAGCACAGAAAGGAAAAATTTGCACAGCCTCCTCCCCCCATATGGTCCCCTTTTTGTTCCAAATAGTGCATTACTGAGTAAATAGATTTTCTTTATACACATGCATTATACTTGCTCTGTACTTGCTGTGCTTCCCTTGCCAAAAAAAAGTGGACTGTGGAATGCAATGGAGCAATTCAGGTGCCTAAACATGGTAATCTAGTACTGCCTTAGATGCTCTCAGATACCCTACACGGAGTCCAACCACTGCCCTAGAGTGGGTGGTTCTCTCATAGGCTCTGTATGATATCCACCACCCCTGTACAGATACGTCAGATACCCAAGGGCATCTATCATGGCACAAGACAAAAGTTGTTTGTTTTTGTTTTTTTTTTTGTTTTCATTTTTATCCTGCCAAAACTGTTTGCCAAATGAAAAAGAACTGCACTTTAATCCAGGTTTGTCAAAATAGCATGAAGTTATTCACTGAGAAAAAGATGCCCACACTCAGTCCTGATGGCAGCTTTGACACCTGAGCACAGGTGGCTCTTCAGGAAGATGTGTGCTCCTTTACAGGAATCACACCCTTTTTACTTGGGGACACTTCCCTGCTGATGCTGTCAGAGTTCAGGACAACAAGTGTGTCCGCACTTTGGCCAAATGGTGAGTGTCCCCGAGTAGTAGGTTCTATTTCCATTGCATTTCCATCCCTCTTCTGGGTATTACTAGGCTCTCTATATCCCTAACCTGGATGGCACTCTCTGTTTCAAGTGGACGGTTGTAATGGCACAAGAGCTGCTGGATCAGTTGCCTCAAACTCCTGAAATTGCCTGAAGGATGGAAAAAAAAAAAACATGGATAAGAGAGAAGAACAAGTGAAAGACAAAAATACCAAGCCCCATGCCCATCTCCTTGCCCAAGGCAGGCTAGGAATTAGTATGAGGGACATAGCAGATGGTATATGACATGTATATGCCAGTCACAATCCTGCACTCATTTTGTAAAATAGGGGCTGGGACATGCCAGAATAAATATTGCCATGCAGCATCTTTTCCCCAAGGAGAGGAAACAAACCATTACAAAATAGCCCCTGCAGGTAATATTGAGAGATCAGTGTCCCTGAAGAAAACAAAAAGAGAAACAAAAGCAAGACTACTAACACAGCAAACAGTCTGATACACAGGAAAACTATAGAGGTTTCTGCAGTCCACAAACAGAATATGGTTTGGAGGATGAGAAAAGGGGAGGTGAGAATTTGGAAATTGCTTCAAAAATAAAACGTATCATTGACCTGAATGTGACAGGTACAAAGGGGTAAAGAGTCCACGGGTTGTGCCAGCAGTATAATGATGGGAATGCAAAGGACTGCAGAATTCTTCTCCCAGGCAGGACAAACAGGAACTAGGAAAGAGGAGGAGGTAGGGTTTGGTGCTATTGTGAAGTGAACAGGGCTGTGGAGGAAGGCTGGTCAGAAACAATGACAGCTGTAAGCCCAAGTAACATTATGGCAGGGAAAGCCTTATGAAGTCACCCCTGCTCCACTTCCTCTTGTTGCTTCTGGATCATTCAGTACTAGCCTAAAATAATATAAAATGTTACAAAATGTCCTTGTTTCAATCTGATTCTTCTTTTGATTTCTTAAGGAAAGTGGATGGCTGTGCCATCACTCTACTACCCTGGAAGCATAAAGTGGATTTTTTGGTGCCTTAGAGGTTTAGTCATATGTCAGCATGAGTGGTTTAAAGAACTAGAATGTGCTAGATGCTATATTACATGCTAATGCTCAAAAGCACAAGCCAGAAGACTATTCTCTGTATGTATTCTCAAGGCTGGGCTGCACCTCTGTACTTACTCACTCTATGCATATTTCAAGACATATAAAGGGGGAAAAAATGCCACCATTCCACATCAAATACATATGATATAGGAATCAGAAATGATCTATGAATACAGTCTTGGAAGCAAAGCTAATATAGGCTAGGGTGGCATGCAAAGAACACAATACTTAAATACTTGTCCATCATATTAAAGTAGCTGAAACAAGGAGACACATGTTCAGCTTTGGAGATGTCTGAGCAACAGCCTAAGCTACTGAAAAAAACAAGTGCATGTTTAGCTCACAAACTGTTTTTCCCAGACAAATTTCATGGGTTGAAGGAGGCAAGAGATGGGACCCTTCCATGCAGACCCTCCAGAAAATGTCCAAGGAGAGGCTATTGCAAAGGATGATGTGGAGAATACTGACAGAGAGAGAGAGCAGCAAGAGAGAGCCTACTTTTGCCATGCTTTCTCAGGGATCACAAGCAGAACATATTTCCAGGTATGTGTTACACTGATGTTGAGGTGCATTAACAAAGTACCTTTAATACAGGCACAGCAGAGAAAGCTCCTTCTCCCAGCCTCAGGGCAATCAGCACCTCAGACAGGCATGCACACACAGGACCCTGGAAGCTTCCACAAGCTGGCTAGGATGTGGCTGAGGCATGCCAGAAGTTACCATACCTGGGAGCTGCTGTGGTTCCAAAGTTTCAGGCATTTGTTTAAGAGGACTTGTTGGGCCATTGGGCTCCTCTGGATAACTGGGAGCGGGACTTGGGGGACGAGGCAGCTGTTATGGAGAGAAAATAAAGTCCATCCTGTGTCATTTCTCAGCCTCTCCAAATGCCTTACTGCTTCTTAAGCAGTCTCTGTGTTGCAGTCTCTCCACTTCTCTCCCTCACCTCTCCCTTCTCATCTGTATCCTCATCCTCATCAACATAAGCAAAAGATTCATGCTTCACATTCGGCAGGGTTGCCCACGGTCCCTTGCTGTGCCCATCGTAGGGTGCCTCAGACAGCTTCTGCTGCATTTCTCTGTGGAGGAGCCGCCGCCGTTCCGGGCTTATCTGTCTCTGGAGGAGAGCCTGCAGTTCAGTTCGCTCTACAGACCCCAGAAGGATCATGGTCTCTGCATAACACAGAGCAGAGAAGCTGCTTCAAGGTTTTGAATGTCCCTTGCCACACACTGCCCCTTCCTCCCTCCAATCTCTTCGAAGTGCTTGGATTTTTGCTGCCTAGGGCTATACAAGAGTCACTGACCAGACCTGCTGGTTGCTCCTTACACACTGTGGGGCTGTGGGAAGCTCATCACCCCTGAGTGACACCACTCCTCGGCACTGTGTCGCCAGCAGTTTCTTTACTTATGCAAGCTCGTAGAATCACAGGATGGTTTGAGTTGGAAAGGACCCTAAAGATCACCTAGATCCAACCCCCCTGCATGGGCAGGGACACCTCCCACTAGACCAGGCTCAGAGCCCCATCCAATGTGGCCTTGAACACTTCCAGGGATGGGGCAGCCACAACTTCCCTGGGCAACCTGTGCCAGTGTCTCACCACCCTCTCATTAAACAATTTCCTCCTAATGTCCAATCTAAAGCTACCCTTTTCAACCTTTTAAGATCCTTCTCTGTTGTCACAGTTCAGTCCACAAACTTCCCACACACCTCCCTTACCTGCTCTAACAGCTGCCCTGCCCACACTCCAGCTTACCTGTCTGACCAGCAGAAGCAGCCTCCTGTCATACATTATCCAGAGTGGAATATTTTTTAGGATGACTTTTTTTAATGTGGTGGGTCACACTGTCACCTTCACAGCATGTAATTTGAAGGCTAATTTTTTCGGGTCTTTAAGCTGAGACAGTTTTCAGGAAGGACCAGTTTCTTCACATTGCTTACCTGGTGAGTCTACCAAAGGCAAAGTCTTAACAGTTGTGCTTTGAAGCAGAGTTTGCAAGTCTCGGTATTTACAGTTGGAGGAGACAAATTTCACATCTTGGACCATAATATCCTCAACAAAGATATTGTATTTGCTGTGAATTTATGGACAATAAGGTGAAGAGTTAGCATATGAAAGGATATCTAGCAGATAAATTCCTTAAATGACCACTTCTTTAAAAAGTGTTCTCGATACAGTTACTAAATAATCGTCTGTAAAAGTTAGTAAAGAGGACTTCCCATCAGGATCAACACAGATTAACTGGATTTTCATTACAGTTGCATTCCACTCCATGGCCCCTCACCATAAAAATACATACATGTATACACATGTATGTATATGTATGCACATATACATATAGGTATAGATCTTTAATATATACATACCTATGTATCTTATTTATACTAGAGAGGGGAAGATGTATATGATTAACTGAATTTTGTTTTAAGCAAAATATCAAATTAAAATGATATTTCAAACATTTTTCTGGAGAAAAAAAAAAAGAAATCCAAGCCCCCCCTTAATTCAGAAACAAACAAACAAAAAGGAACATGAGACACTTGGTTTGAATTTTTTTAAACTGAAGAAATTTGGTAATGTTAATACAAATGCAGTAACCTTGTTCAGATTATTCAAACACATGCTTTCAGTGAAGAAAAGGCAGAGGATTTTTCTCCATTTCTGTGTATGAACTGTAATTCTACACCATGTTCTACCTTGCTGCAGGCCTACCCTGCCTTCTTATTTTCTTTATGGTACTGTCCCCTTTTCATGACCTTTCATTCTCCCATGGTCTTACCCTCTTCTGCCTTATTTTTTTTTTTTGCCACTCCCCACCTCCAGCTCTGTTTTACCACTATACCTTATGTGATTCCAGCCCAGGTCTGGCAGGTAGGGCAACTTCTTCACCTGGATGATGCTATCGTAGAGGCTGGGCTGCAGACTCTGGGCCACCATGTTGGCAAGAATGACAGCCACCATCATGGGGAGGATGTGAGAGATCTGACCTGTCAGCTCAAAGCAGATCACAGCAGTGGATACAGTGTGGCTCACTGCTCCTGTCATAGCTGCTGCACCTTTCCCAGGGAGGGTGGAAAAGGAATAGAGGAAGAAGACTGTCATAAAGCAACAGCATGATATGGCAACCAGGAAAGTCATGGGGTTGGGTCCAGGAAAAGAAAAAGAAAGACATGGAGACTCACCAATGACAGCATAACCTCCAGGTAAGATTTGATAGACTATGTCATCAAAGAGGATCCCATTCGGAAAAATTGATGCCATGATTTCCCCAATAAGACGCCCAAATGCAGCACCTGGAATATATCACTGAAAATTATGGAATAACATCTAAAGAGCACCGAGTCTGTGCTGTGCAGCTGTGCTGGGCAATCACCTGAGTATTTTCTAACAGAAACCAAATTAAAACTTGCATTAAAATTACACCAGGGGCTAAAGAGTAGTTCTCAGTTACAAAATATGTAAGCTAGACTCCAAAGGACAAAAAGATAGTAAGAGGTGTAATTACAGTCGACCCTTCATTCTTCCACTGAAGCACACCATGCACAGTGGTATTTGTGATTCCCAGGTAGGAGGAAATATTTTCAGAATATCTAAAATGTCAGTCCAGATCACAGCTGAGGCTCTTCAGACAGAATTGTGCCCAAAATGCTGAACGCAGGGAAATAAAACATTTGTCTTGCTGCTTTGTTTGTGGTTAGCCTTCTGCACTGCAAGGGCTTGCTACTGACTGATGGTCAACCCAAAGAACACCCAATTTAACAGCTGTAGAAACTTAATGCTGACCTTCATGGGCATGCATGTGTTAGTCTAAACCAGCCTATCTTTCTTAAGTATTTTTACTTTTGTCTTGAAATTGAAACCAATTAAAACCAATAAACTCCTGCAAGTTACCATATTTCAGGTAAAAGAAATGAGTAAGTGGTGGGTTGCACTGCAGGTACTAGTTTTGAGGTTCTCTACTCACTGGCCTTTAGGAGCAAAAGGAGAAAGTACTACTAGATGTTGAATGAGAGTTTCTCTGTAGATGAAGAGGCAGATAAATTAAAAGGCCACGAGTCAACATGCCTCTCCCCACAATGTGGCTTTCCTTATGTAAAGGGACAGGGATTTCTTCCTCAGCATTTAGGCTGGGGAGTGGGACACAGGAAAATGGCAAAAACAGAGACTCAGAGGCTGGTATGTGGATTGTCATAGACATCAAGTGATGATTCCTCATGCACTAGAAGAAAGCTACTGGGTATGTATGCAATGTCTCTCTTATCCTGTCAGACTTAGGTGCTGAAATACGAAACTGAAAACTCACCTAGAACAAAAACGGGCATGAAGCCTCCACAGGGGATTGGCATTGTGGTAGCAATGACAGCCATCAAGAACTAGAACAAAGGCAGAGGGGGCAGTTGTTACTGAGCAGCAATAGCATTTCCTGCAGCCCCGCTCTACTACCCAACATGTGAATCCAGGAGACACATTCTGAGGGATCTGGTGGTTCAGCCAGAAAGTAAGTGCTGTGGTGGCAGGGAAGCTGAATTACCATGGGGATGGATGGACATGAGAAATCCTTTGCTTCAGACCTCAGAAGGTGAGATTTCCTACTGCTCCAAACAGCTTCACTCATCATAGAACAAGGTTGTCAACGTTTCAGACTCAGAAAGATTTCACTGTGAAAGGAATTATGGAGGTGTCTCCCCCAGCTCCTCGCTCCCAGAAGGGCTAATTCCTAAATTAGGTCAGGTTGCTCAGGGCCTGATCCAGGTGAATTCTGAACATCTTGAACGGTAGAGATTCCCCATCTTTTCTGGGCATTTGTACCACTGCTGACCCCATGCTCAGTAATTATTCCCCCCACCCCACCCCGAAGTCCAACTGTCATAAATTTCCTTTATTCTAGCTTCTGTCTTTTGCCTCTTGTCCTATGACTATGTTGGGCAAAATTATTAAATCCATCCTGGTACTGCTAAGACCAATTCAAATACTGATGTAGTCCAACATATATAGGCTTTTTCTGGAGGAAACAGCCTAATCTTACAAATACCTCCAAGGCCTACACACTCAGACTTTCTCAGGCAATATGATAAGATCTTTCCACAGTTGAGGGAAACAGAGAATGCTGCTGTTTCTAAAGGTTGTACGAAGAAGAGAACTGGCAAGATGTCCCTTGCTGCAGCAGTATCATCCATATGAGAGAGACAACCATGGTCCAGCACATCACAAGCAATACTTTCAGGTATTTCTTGACCATATTCTCTTGAGAGTGGGCAAATCCTTTGCATTCAAGGTCCACCTTTGAGATGGTGATATTTCTGCAGACATTGTTGTAGCTGTAGGCAGATGAGATACTAATCTATAGACAGTCAGTTTGATGAGAGGAAATCCACCAAAGACATTTTTCTGCTGTAACTCCCATAGGATGGTTGTCATAAAAGGGAAAATGAAGCCAAGATATAACCTGCCATTTAGAAAAGCCTTCTACAAAAGTAACAAAGAGCCAGCAAAAGAGAATTTCTCAGCCATTGGTAGAGGAACATACTGTGAGGATGGCCTGGACCATCAATTTGATACTGGCTGTTGCTCTTCCCTCCAGAAACCATTTGAATATTCCAGAGGAGAAGTTCCTGCCCGGCTATAGAGCAAACTGCAGAAGTGGAGTACTGCTAAGGCTGAAAGAGCTGGGACTCATTAGCCTCGAGAAGAGAAGGCTGAGGGGAGTCCTTATCAATGTACACAAGTATCTAAAGGGTGGGTGCAAGGAAGATGGAAACAGGCTCTTCTCTGTGGTTCCCAGTCTCAGAACAAGGGGCAACAGGTATAAGCTGGAGCATTGGAAGTTCCATTTAAATATGAGGAAAAACTTCTCTACAGTAAGAGTGACAAGGCACTGGAACAGGCTGCCCAGGGGCGTTGTGGAGTTCCCTTCTCTGGAGACATTCAAAACCCAACTGGATGCAGCCCTGAGTGATGTGCTCTAGGGGATCCTACTTCAGTGGGAGAGTTGGGCCAGATGTCCCTTGGTTGCCCCATCTAGTTGGACTAGATGTCTAAAAGTTCCTTCCAACTCTAACAATTCTGATTCTGTGATTCTGTAAGCTCTGTTTTTGCAGTATGAAACTCAGACAAAATACAGCTGAGACCTGAGCCTATAGTCCAGTGGAGAATCAGGCTAAGTCTTTGTTCAGAGTCAAAACAGCAGGGTTTTTTGTTTTGTTTTGGTTTGTGTGGTCTATCTCAACTATGAATATATCAAGAATAAAATATATTGCTTGGAGCAGTTGTCTAGTGAGTTGAGAAAGTCTCTAGTTAAAGTCTCCAGGACAAAGCCAATGAATTTAGTTTCTGAGGATACAGCTCTTCTGAAAGAAAACAGATGGACTGAGGATAGATACACTATGTATTCCATGCCTTTTTAATTAAAGTGAATGAGACCTTATCTGCTTGGTACAGTAAAATCAGAATTGTCACAGAAGCAGAATTCTTAACTGCCTGTCAGAAATTTGAGACAATGTTTTACTTTAGGTGGAATCAGCTGTGTCAATCACTAATGTCCATTTCTGACCTACTGAAGTATTAAACTGATATTGCAAGGTGGCCCCAGCTCTTCTGCTCATTTACAACAACAAAAATCACCATTTCTGATATTTTCACCCTTTTATATTTTTTTTCCCTCTTAGAAAACCCTGTTTCTTGCTACTTGTATTTTGAACACTGGAATATAAAGTTTTCTTCTTTCAAATCTTTTCTCTTGCTCTGTCATGTATCACTTACACAGCTGGTCCTTTCAGAGCCTGAACAGTTGCAACTTTCACAGACCATGTGAGCTTGGAATGTTTAATCCTCTGTCGCTTTCCAAGACTGGAGCACAACTCTTTTCAGCTGCATTTCTTCATCACGTTGTGGTACTTCTAACAAATCCTTCAGCATCAGCCAATTATTGTTTGTGCTTGCATATTCTTATTTGTCTCCTGTCCATAGTCAGATATATCAAGTAAACCATATCAGGCTTTGTTTAGACTAAACATAAATTAGCTGAGAGTTTTTTACTCAATTACTTATTTTTCTGGAACTTGAGAAATCTGATGCAGTCCTCCCTGTCAACACACTACTGAAGGTCATTCAGCAG